CGATTTAGCGTCGAATATGTAGATTGACACAATTTCGATGCAATTTCGACGCTATATTAGCGTCGAAATAAATCCGACGCTAAATTTCGACGCTAAATTACAGTTTTCTTGTAGTGAAATACTATGCGAAGAAACATAAATATAGCATGTGTTTATGTTTGATTAATATAGCATGTGTTTCTCATAATCAAATACAAACATAAAGAAACATTATTATCATTTATCAGGAATTTGGCAACAACAATAAACATGGTAGTATACGCCATCCATAATACATTTTCCTCCCCATGTGAAGCCTCTCTTTACTCAGAGTATGCTGCAAATAGGGGTATCAACTCTTGCGCTACATGGCTGAATACATTGAAATTTTCCCTCCTACTTGTTTTATCTCTGCACATAAACACACACACATACATTGAAAAAAAAAACAATTTTTAAAAACCAATGTTCATGGATATATTATACACGCATAATATTCTATATTTTTATCCATGTTACATATTGTTATCGATAAAGGCTAGGTAATAGAAAAGAGTTAAAAAATTTTACCCAAGCCAAGCGCGTTTTGGTTGGACATCGAAACAACCAAAATGACTACAAAAAGAAAGAAAGTCATGAATCTTTTTGTGAAACCCATTTTTTTTTCTCTGTATAAACCAAATTGATCTGCAATTGAATAAGCCTTAGGAATTTATAGATCTTTCAATCTTTGAATTGAACTCATAAATCTCATTATTTAATTTCCCAAATAATCTTAATATCATTTCTCCATAATTAGTTATTTCATGGTTTGACAACAAAAAAAAAATTAGTTATTTCATAGTATTTGTTAACATTATCATTTTTTTTTTTTGTAATCCCAGAATTCGTATTTTTGTAAGAAATAAATCCCATAATTCGTATTATTTATACCCACAACATTATCATATTTTGGGATTGAACACGTATGTTTTACTTACAAAACAATCTCAATATGTATTTGGTTTGTCGTTTGCTAGTTTCTTACCATAAAGAGTTATTTTCATAGTATTTAGTGAACAATGAATTATTC